GGAATCAGAACTTGCTTTAAGACATTTCTACCAAGGCTAGGGAAGGGCAAAGTCAAGTGAAAGGGAGTGAGAGCAGTATATAGTATACCAGAATAAAAAAGGAAAACATAACTTAACAATTTGTGACCCCTGATGTGCACAGCCTTCACACAAACATCTCACATAGTGAAGGTTTTGACTCAGCTCGTAATGTTTTCAACCACCGCCCTTTTTTTCTTAAAATGTGTGTTTTTCTTCAGTCTACTTTTTGAAAACCATAATATAGATGTGAATGTTATAGATTTTTTTGGACAACAGGCAAATTTTGTGTCTTCTTTTCTCTTATAATGTAGAGGTACGTCAACATTATAGTGTCAACTGCTTCAGGCTAACCCTGGCAAGATTCTAGTGAAGGAAAAATATCCTTGCTGTACTTGGCACTAATATGTGATTCTGTTCACGTATGGTAAAACATCTTGCACTTCAGTACAGATGGAGTGGTTGAGTCATTTCTGGTTGTTACCACTGTTCATGCCAGACTTACTAACCCATTAACAGTTTCTGATTAAAATTAAACATGTATTATAAGAGGGTTCTTCTAATAGGTGCAATCGCATGGGAAAACATTTTTTATGATGGTTTAAACAGAAGCAGATTTTAAAACAAATGAGACCCAGAGGGCCACACAACACACTCTGCAACACTTGTTAGATTTATTCTCACGTTTTGCTTTCCTTATGCAGGGAAAAATTCAAAAGAAGTTAATAAAAGGTCAGGGGAAGTTTTTTGAAATCAGCTTAATTCAAATACTGACATTATCAATGCTTATTTGCATATTCACACTTCCCTAAAAAGTGTTTTAAACAATATCTGACCTTTATAAAAACAAGAAGGTTCTGTTTATATTTCAAAACAACTGGATTTCCCTCATTCAGCAGAGGGACAGAGGTGCATAAAACTGCAATGTGAGGTTGAGGAAAATACCAGTATCACAGGTTCCTCCTAAAGGGTGACACCAACCTCATCTAGGATAAAAACAGAAAGAGATGAAAGAAAACTCATTTCCCCAAGATCAGGAATAAGAATCTAACAAGACAAACTTGCCCACAAAATCTAAGAAGGACATACCTCAACAATGGAGAGGAGGAGCGCTATCCCATTTATCCCCTCTTTTCATTTGTCTATCCAATTAAAGGAAATCAATACTTCCTGGCTTGAGATGCAGGGCGGGGCTTTATAGTGACCTCCTCCAACCAAGGAGCTGCATGCTGCCTGAATTACAATCATGCTCCTCTCCCAAAGCAGACAGGGTCAGAGTAAAGGTTCAAACCCACGCCCTTAGACAGTTAGACACATGAAAGACAAGAAACTATAAAGCAATGACTGAGGCCTGTGTTTTCCTGCCAATGCAAAGATAAGAGGCAATGCTAGGTTTTGCCATTTTCCTGACCTTGAAATGAGAATTCCCTCTACATTTTGTATTTTCTTATTTATTCTTAATTTTATATAATTACTTTTTTTCCCCTCTGCACAGCACACGTGGCACAAAAGTAGGAAGTTTGTGCACATGACATGGCTCTTGGAGAACCGCTGGTAATAGGGCTACAACTAATGATTATTTTCATTAATCTGTGAAATGTATAAAAAATAGCATCATAGTTTGCTTAAGCCATAAGTGACCTCTTAAAATGTCTTGATTTATCTGACCAAAAGCAAAAAAATTCAATTACTGCCATACAGGACAAGGAAAAGCAGCAAATCCTTTTCACTTTAGAGAAGCTTGTACCAGCAACTGAAATGATCACTTGATTATCAACATAGATTATTTTCAATTTGATCAACTAATTCAATAATTGACCAATACTTTCAGCTTAGTGTTTTGTTGAAAATTGTGTATATGAACTGACACTGAGACAAGACGTCACCCGTCTGAGCATTTGGTGATTCTGACAAGCGCAAACTAAATACACGGTGGAGATGTGCAGCAATTACAGATTTATGACAGATACGCTTTAAAAATTAAGGCCTGCTGATATTCTAAATTTGTCATTGTCAACAAATCTTATGAAAACACCAAAAATAACAATAAACTTATCTTATTAATAACAGTTGGAAAGTCAGAAGTTTTGCTAAATGGACCATGCATTGTCAGTTTTGGTTTTTGAATAGGACTTGTTGACAAAAATATAGAATATCACCAGTCTCATCTTTTAAGATGTCTGCCGCTAGCAGATGCATTTACAGAGACAACAAAAATACTAACTTAATGCAACTATAGCAGTCTATATTGAGCTAAAGGTTAACAGCTGATTCTTACCAGTATCTGTCATGCTCACATGTATTTATACTGAAAGCAGGGCATATGTGTGTTAACGTATGTGGCATCGAATTTGAAAAAAACAAGGCCCACACAAAAGCCTAGTGCCATTATGCATATGATCCGCTGTGTTTACAGTGATTACATCATCACAAAAAATAACACCAGATTGTTGCAAAATAACCACACAAATCAGACCGCCTCAACAAATTCAACTTTCAATATCTTTTCTATTAATCCACTCGTCAGTCTTCTCCCACTCTTGCTGTCTCTCACCTCCGTCGGCCGCCCTCTGTGCATCCAAAAATGGGATCACAGAGTTACCAGGGGCAACAACCGCCTCTGTCATGGCCCTCTTTTCAATTTGTTTGGCTAAAGTAGTGTGTAATGTTTAATTCTCCCTTAAAATACATTTTAATTGTGTAATGATGTGATACGGCCAAATTGTGATTCTAAGTGTTTCAATTTAACATCTTTTTTTTCCGTCAGTATAATGTTGTCAACTGCAATTACACTATTGATTGACGCATGCAACTGCATAAATCATGTCAGTTTAACAAACTGTTATTGTATTTATTCGATCTAATTTATTTTATTTTAATTTGGACTGTGTCGCAAAAAAGAAAAACCTCATATCATCCACAGAAAACAAATAGTACGTTTTTTCTACTTGGAAAAGCGCTCTGCATTCTCATTTTCATTTGATGAGCGGTTGTGTGATTGACAAGACAAGTAATGCGATGGAAAACAATGATTAATCACCACTCCCCTACAATTTATATTACAATTCACCTAGCCATTTATGTTTATAAATGCTTAAAGACAGTTTCACTGTCCTTACTGACATGACATACTGCTTTGCTCTGGTGTTCGAGAATGCACTGTTAAAATGGAGGCCACAGACTGCGTGGATGTGACAGATGGCTCTATATTGAGGTGGTGACATGCAGTTCACAGATCAGTTGACCTCGGTCTTCGCTCGCCATCGCTAATGAGGGGACTTTTCTTCTGCCTTATCCTTCCTGCCTCTGCTGCATGTCTCTCCAATTCAAGTTGACTCAATTCTCACTTCCAACTTCACCCACCTCTGCTCAGCCATTCCACACACGCATATACCAGTACTCACACATTCACACACAAACCACTGTCCCACCAACAGGAGCTTCGTCAATGATAAACAATTCCACTGCATGGCATAGCAGCTGATTGGTGGGGGTGAAAAACAGAAGGCAAACTAATTGAATAATCAAAAATATGCAGATGAATAGCTTTCAATTTAAATGCAGATTTTGGCATTTTTCTGCAGTCAGGAAGAGGATGTCAGAGAAAGAGAGAGATGGAGTAGAGCTCCCAACAAAAATAATTAAATCAACAGCAATTTCATCCATATTTATATTTCAATCAGATTTTTATTTACTGTTTAAAGTGTTGCTCATGTGTCTGAGCATAAAATAACTAATGACTACATACATCTAAAACTTTGTGACAGTGGTATGATTACATACGAATGATCAACTTGAATCTCACTAGCATAAATACATAAAAGAATGAATTACATTACAGTTGTCAATTACAAGACACCTTAAAAATTAACATGAGCCTAGATGTTTTTGAACTCACAATTCTGAGTTGTTTTGTTTCTTTTGGATTTCTTTTCTCTTTGCTTTAATGTCATTTTCTCAGCACTGTAAAGCAAGAGGAAACTCAAAATGTGTGCATTTATAACTTAATACGTGTTAACTGTGACGATGGCGTATGCTCCCAGAAATGCCATCAATAACTTCCCTGTTTGTTTTTCTGAAATTTGCTCTGCCCTTAGTAGGTGGTACATGAAACTGCTCTGCACTGGGAGTCATCTTTGAAGTATGATGGACAGGTCATTAATCAGCAGATTAGAGCTGAGAGAATGACAGTGTGCTGACCTCTTGTAGTGTTAAACAAAGCCAGGGCTATTAGAAGAAACCCGGCCATTGGGATGGATTTTTTTATAATTAAAATTCCAAGCAATACTTTCCAAGGAAGGAAGAAAAGGCGTATTTCTATGCTGTGTGAATTTCAGCCAGATCTCAATAAAAAACATTATATGCAGTGTGCATTTCAGACAGGACTCATAACAAAACAAACTGGGCTGATAAACAAGATTTAGCCGTTGGAATATTGAGAAGCTCAGCAACAGGTGAGTTTTTCCAGATTAACTGTGAATTTGCAGTCACATTGTCTTTGTTACCTACACATATTTACTATTACAGATGCAGTTTTGGGCTGACTTGTAAAGCAATTTGTTAGAATTGCTATGCTAATGAATACTTCTCTTTGCCTCTCATACATAAACAGTGAAGTCCTGTCCAGACCTTGTTTGGCCATTTTGTTACTGATTTGGTTTATGTCACATAAACCTGTCTTATATCTCAGGTGTACAGGTAACATTTAGTTTAAAGGAACTTTCTATTTGTGTACTTCTTGGGTTTAACTCAGTGAGGTTACACTTGTGTTTTTCATTATTGCTCTGGCTCCATCGTGTAAATCATGATGCAGGTTAGGACTGAATTAATCATATGTTTATTGAAAAAGCAATTTGAAAGAGTGCAATTTACAAATTTAATTATAAGTTACATTATTAACAATATCTGACTACATTAGGGGGGCATACTAAGCGTTTTGTAGTAAGCCCAGGCCACATAATTAAAGTTAAACAGACCCAGCATTTATGAGGACAGTTTTTTATTATAGGTGGCAAAGCTGAAGATCACAGAGCAAACAATGTTTATAGCTTATTAAATATGGGATAAACTGGACATTGTTACTGCAGAAAAATACCCAAGTTTATTTGCAATTAAACTTTTCTCCAACTGTTAGTACAGAAAAATCCTGGAAGGACGAGAATAACTAACAGAACAGTTTGACATTAGTAAAATCATCGTTTAATGCCAGTTATAAGTCAGAAAAACTGCAATTAATAATTTTCCACAGTATTCTTGTCTGGGTTCTTGAAATTGTTTGCATGGATACATGACCTCCTGATTTAATTTGCATATAACAAAAAAACCCTGCTTATCTTGATTTTTTTTTTGAGAAAATTCTGGGGGAATAACAGTTCATCACTTGTCAGTATGTATTGCTACTTGACCAATAGTCTTCTATCAACCCTGTCTGTGTGTCAAAGTGATGTTTTTTGGGTGATGAGATCAGGTGGCTAATTACAAGCCTTGGTAGCACAAATACTCAGAGGAAGCTCATAAGACAGGTGACCTTTTACTGTGATCCAGCAGCACAGAGAATATTTACAGCATGAAACATTTTAGCTAATATGACAGTAAAGTGCACCCTAAGCGTTTATACCCATCAGCCATAACATTATGATAACCTGCCTAATATTGTGTAGATCCCCTTTTGCTGCCAAAACAGCCCTGACCTGTTGAGGCATGGGCTCCACTAGACCCCTGAAGGTGTGCAATGGTGGTATCTGGAACCAAGACATTAGCAGCAGATCTTTTAAGCCCTGTGTAAAATGCGAGGTGGGGCCCCCATGGATCAGACTTGTTTGTCCAGCACATCCCACAGATGTTCGATTGGATTGAGATCTGGGGAATTTGGAGGTCAAGTCAACCTTGAACTCGTTGAGTTCCTCCAACCATTCCTGATCGATTTTTGGTTTTGTGGCAGGGTGCATTATCTTGCTGAAAGAGGCTACTGCCAGGGAATACTGTTTCCATGCAAGGGTGCACATGGTCTGCATCAATGCTTAGGTAGGTGGTACATATACATGAATGGCAGGACCAAAGGTTTCCCAGCAGAACATTTCCCAAAGAATCAACACCGCCGGCTTGACTTAGTCCCATAGCGCATCTTGGTGCCATGTGTTCCCCAAGTAAGCGACAAGCACGTACCCGGCCAGCCACGGGATGCGAAAGGAAACGTGATTCATCAGACCAGGCCAACCTTTTTCCATTGCTCTGTGGTCCAGTTCTGAGGCTCACATGCCCATTGTAGGCACATTCAGCAGTGGACAGGAGTGAGCTGGTCTGTGTCTGCCCTATATACAACAAACTTCTTCCCTTGGCCTACTATCGATAAGTACTGACCACTGCAGACCAGGAACACGGCACAAGAGCATCGGTTTTGGAGATGCTCTGAACCAGTAGTCTAGCCATAAAAATGTGGCCCTTGTCAAAGTTGCTCAAGTCCTTATGCTTGCCTTGCGTTGCGCTTTTCTGCTTCTAACACATCAACTTTGAGGACACAATGTTTACTTGCTGCCTAATATATCCCACCCAATGACAGGTGCCAGAGTAATGAGATAATCAGTGTTATTCACTTCACCTGTCAGTGGCGATAATGTTATGGCTGATCGGTGTATCTTATCTGTACTTACGAAGGGGAAAGAGAAGAAAAAATATAATTGATCTATGCTAGTAGCGGCTAATGTAGCCTTGATCCACAAGCCTCAAGCAGAGATGAGGAGCGGGCTACAGTGGTCTAGTAAACTCACTTCTTTTTGACTCACTGACAGATTTTTTTTTTCATTTTCAAACTTGTAGTTTTTAGCCTCAAGTGGCATTACTTGCGCCAATTCATCATACTTCACACATCTCCCTATGGAGCCATTAAAGACTTTATGCAACTTTTCCCACATATGCAGTAGTACTCCTCAAAACCTGTAAACAGACTTTGATGTGGTGAGCTCCCCTTTAAACTCCTCAGTGCACAACCCAACCAAGTTCGTGACATCATGTGCAAGCATGAGCAGATCTTGATAAATGACAGTCAAAGTGATCAAAAAGACATCTTGTTTTCCCCTAAAATCTAAATGTGCCGATAAAACCATGTGACTGACTGGGTTAAGTGATAAACACAGAGTTATGAAATCAACATGTGTGAACCGCAGTGAGTCTGTACCGAGCTGGAGAGAACATCTCCCGCTCAGGAATATTCATGACCTCAGGTTGACTTGTGGACTTGCGTGTTGGGTTCTGATGTATCAGGTTACCATGGAGACAGCAGACATATGTTCCGAACACCGACCAGAGGAGCAAGTGACGCCGACAAGCGCACGCACACAAATGTGCGTGCACAGACACACAACCGCATATATTCACATACACCCTGAGGGCAAGCAGGACAGGAAACTGTCAGGAGAAATCAGAGTCAACATTCTCTTCCTTCTCTGGGATTTTAACTCCAAGATTTCTCTCTGAAGGTTTAAGTACATAAAGTCATACCCACTGAAAACACGGTTAATTTATTCACTCTTGTATTCCCATCAGCCTTTGTGTTTACTGTTTATTAGTGCTTTGCTCATGTTTATCTTCATAGCTATCAGCGATACATCAGTGAGTGTTTTGTTTCAGTCAGTGAACAAAGTGAAATTCAGTCCCAGCAAGCCTTCTTTCTTTTCCCAAACACCCCCACATTTATCCTTTTTAGTTTTATATTCGTTTTATTGCCCTCAGTTCTGTATTATATACAAGAACAAGAGCTCACGCATGTCCACGCACACAAAGAAATTTTCGAAGACTGCAACCAACGTATGATAGGAATACAAGACATAATGGATCTTAGTGTAATTTCGGTAATTATACAAGACCCATTTTGTTCAAGGAAAGACTTGAGATACACTTACAGTACACACAAACATTCACCCACAATCTCACAACTAATATCTTGACAGAATATCTTTTATAACAGAATTGGTCTTTAGTCTGCATCATGACCTTGTTTGATCAGATTCAGCTAAAAATAGGTGTACCACAGTGCCACAGCAAGAGTTGAATTTTCTTCTCAGAATGAGTAAAGTTGGAACAGTATTCATGGAAGAAACCTGAATACATAAATATGGTAAACAAAGTCAGCAATACGCTGGACATATCAAAAGAAAATTGAGGAGGGCATTCACTGATGTAGTACTGTACATTTCCTCATTCATCCAATGCAAGCCAATAGTTCTCTTAATGAAGGGGCTTTAGTTGAATATTTGTCAGTCCAAGTACATAGAAGGTTTCATATCTTTAAAGTTTAATTTTAAAGTTATGATTCAATTAGATTTTTAAATTGAATCATAACTTTAAATTTTGAATTATAAATGCTAAAATAGTGCCTTGTATTAAACTAACTCTTTAAAAAGGTTACTGTGAATGACTGCATAATCAATGTGCAAATACATTGTATCATAAACCAGTGTAATATGTTATCACATCACAACATCCGAAAATGCTTTCTGTCTGGCATCATTTGATCATCAAGTTAAGACTCTTCTTGTATGTTTGCCAGCATGTTTAGGGTGTAATTATCTGGTTTAGAAAAAATGCTCATTTGCTTACCCGTAAGAACTGTTATTGTACCTGTTACACAGAAGTAGTATAGTATAGTAGAATAGTTTTGATACAAACTTGTGTTACAGGCAGTACAGTTGTTTTGTGAATGAATTATTTTGAGAGTTACAAGAGATAGGAAAAGAAAAATATTGGCATAACTGTCCTTTTAAAATCAGCAGTATTGGTACTTTTTAACTACTTGCTTTAAAATGAGCTTGCTCATTCCACTTTACTGTCTAATCAATAAAAAATGGTTATAAAAGAAAAATTACAACACCTTTTGGGTCCTTATTTAAAGTAGCTGCCACAAATAACAATCTAACACTCCAGTGTCATCAACTCTGATTGGTCAGAAAGAGAGAGGCAAAGATAACAGGCACTGAGTCAGAAAAATAGAATGACTTGAATCAGAAACGTTTTTGGCCCCACTTCACCAGCTCCTGACTGCTCCCATGCTTGAGTCCTGTAGCCAGCAGCAACCCTGACAGTTTAGCTGTGCTTCAAAGTTATTTTGAATTAAGATCTTACAGAGGTCTTACACACACACACACAGGCAAACACACATTTGTGGGCGTTAATCATTCCCGAGTGGCTTATAAAACAGAGACAGGTCATTAAGACGAGACAGTGTTCATAAACTCTACTTTATTAACTGTCCTCTTCCGTCTGCCACTCTCACAGATTCAAATTATTTAGCTTTTTCAAAAGGCGCTATTTCATTCTTTCTGTCTACGCATCACCTACCTTCCACCATTCCTCCATACATTATTTTCTTTCCCTCCATCTCTCTGGTGAGAGCATTGACAGTTAATTGGGAGTGTGTTTTAATGAGCTGGCCCTGAGATTCTATCTTCTCCTTTCATTAGGAAGTGTCAAGGAAGTGAAGGAAGAGGGAGGGAGAAAGGAAGAGGGAGGGAGAAAGGGAGGGAGGGAGGGAGAAAGAAAGAAAGAAAGAAAGAAAGTCTGTTAGTTGATAGAGAACATCTAGAAGTTTCTAGCTTCAGTGTCACTGCTGTGGAGAGCACAGCTCTGTGCGTGTTTGTTTATTTGTTAATGAGCTAATCAATAGCGGAGGTTTGTAAGCTCAGCAGAGGGTCTGCTCTGGGAGATTACTTACAGAGAAGCAGAACTTGTAAGACTTGTTTGTCTACAATGTGCCTCTCGTTTTATTTTATTTCTTACTTACGTTTCTCAGGTACAAATAGGTCTACAAACATAAGAGATCTCTAAGATATCTAACGCACTGCTTTATTTGAGCTAATACATGTCTTTAGACAGCATGATCTTATGATGAAAATGAAGTACTATTTTTCTATTATTTTCTATTATCTAAAAGAAAAGAAATTAACAAAACTTGTTATTTCTTGGGTCTGCAGCAATCTAATCTTAAAAACACCTTCTGAACTATCTGAATCTTTAAATGAGCAAATGTTAATGTTGTAAAATGCAAGCTGTGTCTCCCTCTCCTTGAAACTTCTGGAAGAAAAAATGTTTAAATAACTCACCCGCTCGCACAGCTAAGGTGTTTATCGCGCTGATTAGCAGGGCCTCAAATACCTAATCACTGATGCTAATCAGCCCTCTCACCTAGGGGTGAGCTAAAAATATAAATTACACACATGCTCACACAAATATTTTCTGCACACTTTCCCTATCAAAATAATTCTGCCATCACACCCATTTGAACATAACATTGCATTAATCCATTATTAATTGACAAACAGCATTTCTCCACATAAACTAGCTATGAAATAGCTTCTGTACTGTACAGGTTCTTGTTTTCTCCACTATAAAAAGAACCACACAGTTAGTGTGGACTTTTGATCTCTCACCACTCACATACGGTCTGGCTGTTAAGAGAAACGCACTTTCTAACTTTATTCTGAAAATTTATCAGCATGCACCCGGCAACGTAATTACATTTCTGTTGACTTTGAAATCTACAACTCTGTAAAATTTAAAACTTATTAGGGTAAATGCTTTGGAGGTGAACATCTTGATTAAACAGAAGATAAAGTTGATGCAATGATAAAACAAACACTCTACGATGCCATATCATTGTGTTAACATGCATATAGTAGCATGCAAACGTTTAGCATGTCAGCTGGCTCAGTTGGCACTAAAGTACAGTAATCCATCATTAATTATGATTCATGAATTGAAGTACGTATTCAACGTATTCCTTTGGGACTACTGCGCCTGTGAAAATTATATCCACCAAAAGTGCTTCTTTTTGCCACCGACAGTCTCAGACTGTTACACCAGGTGTCTGACAATAACATGGAAAGCATCCCTATGAGTAACACCTGCTAACACCCCTTGATGTTAACCAGAAAAAGAAGTCTTGCTCATGGACAATTATTGCTCTGAAATCTCATGAGAGGCGAGCTGTTTAAGGAAGACGTCGGTGGAAATGTGAGTCAGAGCTGGAGAGGAATATTTTGTTTTGTCCAAAACTCAATAGAGTTTAGGACAAAACAAGAGTTTTAATCAATCTGATTTAATGACCTTTGGCTTTAGGAAATTGTGAGCAGCATTTAATTTATTTTTGTATTATGTATTTTTTTACATTGTATAAATTAAAGGGTAAATCTAGGTAATAATCAATTATACAAATCGTTAGTTTTAGCAGTACTTTGAATACACAGACTGTGTGCTGACAATTTTGATAGATGTAATGGGAAAACAGTTGTTTAAATTACAACATGTGAGCCAAGTTAGTGACAAAGACTGAACAAAACAAAACATTTCTTACAGTCATTATTACCACTATCACAGTGTCTCCTTACCATTACTGTTGAGACTCACATAGGACTGAATGAGTGAGAGAGACAGAAAAGCACTTCACAATTTAACTTGAAACGTTTCAATTACCAAATCATAGCAATGTTAAAAGCTGAAAAACAAGAATAAGGCTAAAGAAATAATTTAAATGAAAGTGTGACATAATGAATGTGTGAGAAGAGAGCGAGAGAGAGGTAATGTGACAGTTGCAGGTTAAACAGATTACACCATGGGTGGGGGGGATTTGGGAGCCTCTGCTAGAGGGGGATATTAGCAGGATTATCTGGCAACCCTGTTGCTGAGGTGAATAACATTAGAATCCTATTTCTAAAGACTTCTACGCTTCCTGTCCAAAATCCCCCCCTTTTCTTTTCACTTACTCCTGCCTCATCCTACAATTAGTCCACTTTATATTCTTATAACCCAGATTACACTCACACACACGTGCCAAGAACATGTTATGTATATTGTATTCATTTGTGTGTTTGTGCGTGTTCCTTTAGGTGTGTGTGCGGTGCTAGTGTCGCATTCCATTAGTGGTACAGGCCTCTCTGCTCCCATAGGCCACCAGGCGCGTGTGTCATACACACTCTGAGAACACCCTGAATACTAATACAAGAGGTGTTAGCATCTGTTTTGTGTGTGTATGTGTGTGTGTCTGTCTCTGTACATCTGTATGCAAGGTGGGGTGGAGACTGTTGAGATTGGAGCGAGTATGTGTGCATCTGAGTGTGACAGTGCACACTATGAGGGCATTACGATTGTGTGTGTGTGTGTGTGTGTGTGTGTGTGTTCGTTCTATGGACGCAGTCTGAGGTTAATAAATATTGACAGTGAATTATCTCTTCTGGCAGGGTCGCAGGTGGATTCGATGGAGCAGATTGGACACACCAGCAAGAAAAAAAAATACATGTACGCGCACATGTACATTCAAACCCTCCACCCCCCACTATCTTATTCTCATGATATCCTCTACTCAACAATCATTCGAGTGAGTCCTTGAGCAAGGCAGTACTGACTGGTGGCAATCGACTAGCACTTGAACACAATAATAACCCTGCCAAGATAATAAAGCTGACTTCTACCTTGCCAGTATGGATTCTCCACTTTTTCTGTTCTAGCTAGAGGCCCCACTTTCATAACGCAACACAGCAACAACACAGTGATTAGCTACTGCTACACACTCAAGATCAGAGAGCAACAGAGAGAGAGGAGAGATAAACAACAAGAGAGAGATAAAGAGAGAAACAGTGTAGCAGGACAGGATGGAGAGAGGAGAGAAGGGAAGGAAGGAGACAAAGAGGTAAGTGCGAAGGGAGCACAGCAGGATGTTTTCACTGTAAAGCTACTTAAGGAAAGGATTTGCTCAACAGCTAGGGGACAGACACACATGCAGTTTTTATTTAGCCCACTCAATGAGTGTATGGGGAGTGGAGATCGATTAATGCAGCCCAGCCCTGTGACACTGCCCAGTCATCACTCTCTCCCACTCACACACACAAACTCACAGGCTATCATTCCTCCACTCATGAGGTACACACAAATTCAATACACACAGCAGAGGAGAGTCTCTATATCGATGTAGTGTTCCTCTCCCTGCATGGCCGAGTCGGGCACAAAGCTATAATGTAGCCTAATGGTGCATAAACGTGAATATGGGGGGCACAGTTTTAAAAAATGGGGGGGGCACGACTTGCAAGGTCAAATTTGCACTTCCTGAAGCATTCTCACCGAGACAGGTATCAGCACATAAACAGATTCTACAGCCTGTAGGAATTTTGTTGTTGACAGTGTTTCCCTTTTAAATTCACACTTCTATGTTAATGATCATGGCGCATAAGCTTACAGAAATACACACTGCCTGTGGCTCATAGCTACCTGCAACCATATTTGATCTCACCAAGCGTGTAGGTACATTTACGTAAAGCTAAAGATATCTTGATAATAGTGATATCATTATATAAGACTGGAAATATGGGATTTTGATCATGTAATAATGTGATATAGTTTTACTGTGTGTTGTTCTGGTACTAAAAACACTGGTCTTAAAGTTCTGTCGTAACTTGTGTGTCTTTCTTGTGTATATGTTACCTTATATCAACATTCAACTACTCTGATTGTGTCCATGTTGCCCAGCCCTAAATGTCAAGTAAGTGTACCTTTTTGAAGAGCAGGGAGTCGTCCATGTGCTCTGCATAGACTGAGGTGAGCCTGTACTGGTTCTCAGTGGTGATATCTATCTGATAGCCGGTCAGGACATAGCAGACTGTGCGGAACTCTTGAATTTTCTTCTGAAACACCTCCTTCAGTCTCTGGTTCCTGAGCTCTGAGCTCTCCATCTGCTTACGTAAATCTGTAACACACAAAGAAGTTGAGACATCAGTTTGATATGCTGACACTGGTCTGGAATGTAAGTACATTTAGTTGTTAGCTATATTTTCATAACATCACTCTATATTTACATGAACAACACTGAGGCATTTCACTCTAAGACATAGCTATATGTACAGTGGATAGTTACCCCTGTTAAAATGCCAGGTTCTTATGATGTAAAATAATGAGATCATGTCACAAGTTTTTCCACCTTTAAAGTGACCTATAATGTGAATAATTAAATTGAAAAACAAACTGAAATCTTCGAGGGGCAAAAATGAAAAATAAACCTGGTTGCATAAGTGTGCATACCCTCTTAACTGGGGAGCCAATCACATTCAAACTCAGGTTAAATAGAAGTCATTACACACCTGCCATCATTTAAGGTGACTCTGATTAATCACAAATAAAGCTCAGCTGTTCTAGGAGGATTTTCCTGATATTTTCTTAGTTGCATCTCTGAGCAAAAGCCATGGTCCGCAGAGAGCTTTCAAAGCATCAGAGATCTCATTGTTGAAAGACAAGTCAGGAGATGGGTACAAAAGAATTTCCAAAGCATTAGATATACCATGGAACACAGTGAAGACAGTCATCATCAAGTGGAGAAAATATGGCACAACTGTGACTTTACCAAGAACTGGACTTCCATCCAAAATTGATGAAAAGACAAAAAGAAAACTGGTCAGGGAGGCTTCCAAGAGGCCTACAGCAACATTAAAGGAACTGCAGGAATTTCTGGCAAGTACTGGCTGTGTGGTACATGTGACAACTATCTCCCGTATTCTTCATATGAATGGGCTACAGGGTAGGGTGGCAAGACAGAAGCCTTTTCTTACAAAGAAAAACATCCAAGCCCGGCTGAAGTTTGCAAAAACAAACATCAAGTCCCCCAAAAGCATGTGGGAAGATGTGTTATGGTCTGATGAAACCAAGGTTGAACTTTTTGGCCATAATTCCAAAAGGTATGTTTGGCGCAAAAACAACACTGCACATCACCCAAGGAACAGCATACCCACAGTGAAGCATGGTGGTGGCAACATGATGCTTTGGGGCTGTTTTTCTTCAGCTGGAACCCGGGCCTTAGTCAGGGTGGAGGGAATTATGAACAGTTCCAAATACCAGGCAATTTTGGCACAAAACCTTCAGGCGTTGGTTAGAAAGATAAAGATGAAGAGGAAGTTCACCTTTCAGCATGGCAACAACCCAAAGCACACATCCAAATCCACAAAAGCATGACTTCACCAGAAGAAGATTAATGTTTTGGAATGGCCCAGCCAGAGCCCAGACCTGAATCCAATTGAACATCTGTGGGGTGATCTGAAGAGGGCTGTGCACAAGCCATATCCTCGCAATCTGACAGATTTGGAGCGCTTTTGCAAAGAAGAGTGGGCAAATATTGCCACGTCAAGATGTGCCATGCTAATAGACTCCTACCCAAAAAGACTGACTGCTGTAATAAAATCAAAAGGTGCTAGTATTAGTCTAAGGGTGTGCACACTTATGCAACCAGGTTATTTGAGGGTTTTTATTTTTCATTTTTCCCCCTCAAGGATTTCAATTTGTTATTCAATTGAATTGTTCACATTATAGGTCACATTTAAGGTGGAAAAAGTTCTGACATGATTTATCTTTGTCTCATTATTTTACATAAGAACCTGCCATTTTAACAGGGGTGTGCAGACTTTTTCTATCCACTGTATTAGACTTCTCCATGGAGCTCCACAAGTACATGCTCAACTCACTTAGATCATGCAGCTTAGACGAACGGCTTCATATCCAATATAAACTCCCTGAGGCCTTCCATCTGCTCACTTAGGGTCTACAAAACACTATAATGCACAGAGTGTAGCGGTGACTAAAGCAGTCAGCTGCGTCTCCTAGCTGTGAGCAGAGTGATTCACAGAGGGGAGAAGCAGGATGGGGCTTGACTTTAATTTGTTGAAAATCAATTTGTGATAATTACTTTAATTTGAAGACTTGATTTGAGAAGGCAGAGAAATTAGTTTGTCTGAGTGAAAATTAGTCGTTAAGGAGGGAATTATTTAGAATGTTAACACTGCGGAAAAAGTTAAAAGTGATACACATACATGTGGGTGTGTGGGATGTGCATGAATATAATGTAATGTTAGAAATGGTAAAGGAAACCAGAACAAGCACAAAGAGGCAAATGTTTCCATCATGTTACTGTTCACACACTGACAAATGCCTGTCTTTTGTCTTGTCATTGTTTCTCATTTCTGCCAAGTTAAACAAAAATAAATAAACACGGGGAATGAAAACAGGCAAGAGCACCAGAAAAAGAATTAAAAATGGAGACCAAGGCAGATACAATTCATATTTAACACCCCAGAAAAGCTTAGCTTAGCTTGTGCTGATTAATTTTTTCAAGGTCAAAAGGCATTTTTCAAATGTGCGTCTACTTTGATAACAGTAATATTTTACTTAACCAGCGCTATATACACACCTACTTATAGCCAACACCAACCAGTCACTATTATCTTAGCTTTCACACACACACATTTTTTTATATTCTTGCAAGAGTAGTTAATAGTAACAGTGGTGCACTTTTATAGTCAAGGCTTTTAACCCTGCTATGATTGAGAATTACTTCTACCCATCATTCTTCTCTTCATACAGCTTAGCCTATCACATTTTTATCTGTCATTATTAATCAAGTAAATGGCTAGAGAGTATAAACTTCTAAAAGAGTCTGGGAGTGTCTGTCTGTGTGCCTGTCTGTCTCCTGGGTGACTGGGCTCCTCTTGAGTGTCAGTCAGTGCTGATAAATACTGTTTCAAGACTTCAGCATTGTGACAAAGCTGTCACTATATGACAGCTTTCAAACTGCCCTGAAAATGGCTGTTAATTCTCAAGTGGCGCTTCATGAAGAAGCCGCCGCTTCAATACACTGTAACAGACAAATGGACATGTACACAGGTAAATGTATACAAGCGCACACAACAAATGAGCCAATGGGTAAGTATTCGGGGTTAGAAGATTGTGTCAAGTTTTGCAAAAGTTGGTGACTTCTGACTTTTGCCCTTAATTGGTCTCTCTGGATCTGGCCGCGCTGTCTATTAAAAGCTGTCAAGAAAATTTCACTGCTGAGGAAGCTTCTTATTTATATATTTTTGCCAAACTCATTTTTCACCCTGAACTAAAGTGTGCACTTGTATATGCTGAAGGTAACATGGAAAACTTCAAAAACAGGTAATGAAACAAATCATTCGTTGTTTTACCAACAAAGAACAGCAGAAGTTAAAATAGGAAAACCAGTGTAATAGTGTAGTATCGTCCTGACTAATTACTTCTGAAGAATACTCAAGTTGAAATGGAAAGAAGAAAGGAAGGTTAGCAGTAAAAGTTATGAAAAATATACTATTTGTGAAAATAAACAAAAACTTAAAAGTAAAAATAAAGCATTGTCACAGTTGAAAATTTTTTATTTTTTTTAAATCACCTGACAAGGAGATGATAAAATAGAGACAGGTTATAGCAGTAAAATGGCTGGCACAATTTTGTGGGATTTTTGTCATCATCAATCATTGCTATAATTAACTTCTTTTTTGAGAGACAACTTTCAAAAACTCATTTCAACTTATTTCATGGGGGTCTAAAACTAAAGATCAGTCATATAGCATATTAAGTAATACTTTTTTATATAAATCTTTGCCAATCTCAAAGACATGAAAATGATCTTGTTTCTTTGATACTTTTCCTGACATGCTATTGCGTTGACCCTGGTCTGAAGATAAGAACAGATATCACACATTAAGTTGGCATTATCTGTTACAGTTTAAATTGAGCACACCGGTGAGAAACTCAATTATCATAAAAGAAAAGGACAGGAGAAAAATGGGTCCGGAACAGACAGACCAAACTAAAGACAGTGGGAAATGACAGAGAAAAGACAAGAGTGAAAGGAAGCGTAAAAAGGAAAGAAAGAAGGGCAGAAGTTGGAAAATGAGAAGAGACAAGAGATGAGTTAGTGTTGGTGAGCGAGACAGTGGTCCCTCAGAAGACAAATTAGCCAACAGACTGCCAGCGATGAACTTCCCTGAACTCCAATTAAATATTTAACCCTATCATAACTACACTTTCTCCCTCTAACTGTATGTCATATAGTCACACCTACAAGGACGAAGCCTCAGTGGCCTCAAATTTAAATATCAATGAAGCAGTTCCCTTCTTATTTCGGTTTAGGACGCAGCCAGTAGAGGGTGTAGGTTAATGGTTTCTCTCATTTAATGCTTTTCATCAGTCTAAAGGGGGACAGGACCTGGGAAATGTGCTGTGTAGAAAGTAGTAAAATATCACATTGCTTCCTTAAAGTTACTTTTTACCTTTTACCTTTGTAACTAACAGTATAAATAACCAAATAAGTAATCATTCAAATATAACTCTGTTTCAGTTTTATTTAGCCAATCATACTGAATGTACTGAGTGGTTGCTATGCAATGTATTTGCAAAACACTCCAAGCATAGCACAATTCAACAACTTGCTATAACTAATTGCAGCTTAGGTTCATCCCTTTCTATGCATACACTAACTGTGTCCTACATTAACGTAGGATGTGTTGGTGAAGATTTATTTGTCGTAGAATGTTTGCTCTGGCACCATGTTCAGCTCCATAAAAATTTATGGTAATGGAAATGTGACAGACAATTAAAAAAAAGTCAATGCAACTCCCCAACCCCGTCTCTTTTCTAATGAGCCAAATCAGTACGCGTGAGTATGTAAATGTGAGTCTGTGGATCTTACCCAGCACCTCCTTCGATGGTGGTAAGCTGAGGCCGAGGCTGGAGGTGTGCATACTGGAGACGTCTTGAGAATGGACCAGAGCACCTCCATCCTGCAACGAGCGCACGAGTTCCCTGAGACGCGTCACTTCCTCCCGAAGAGACTCAACTTCCTGCTGGCGCTGTTGCTTGGCAACAGTGGTAGGGTTCAATTTGAAGTGGAGAACTCGGGTTTTGACTGGATCATAGTCGCCCTGACACAGAAAGTGGCATTAAGACAAAGATTAGACACCCCTCATATGTACAGTTTTTATTTTTAAATTAAATTAAATCCAGAGATGACATACTGTTCACAGTAACGTGATAAATAATGGCAGAGCCCAAAACTCTCTCATCTGCGAAAAATGTCTAAAATTAGATGCAGTACTAAAGCAGGTCAATACGTGTTTTTGGTTTCTTCCCATTGTTGAGAATTCACATTACAACACTACTACACTTGGAACACCAAGTGCACGCCTGCTGAACCAGCATGCTCACATTTAAATCTTTTCTTAAGCTTAGTTCCATTTTGCCAATGTTTCTTTTACTGCACTTAAGACACTCTGAAGCTACCGCTGGCAGACGACAAGACTCACTGTGACCAACAAAGATAATATTCAAGCACATAACCACGTAAAATCAGAAGTTATTTGTCCAGATTAAACAAATGACATAACAGGTTAATTAATGAGCTCTGGAGCTGCTGGTAGGCAGATTCTTTTACCTTTGGACAGAGGCAGGTTAGCTGTTTCATTTCAAGTTAAGCTAACTGGCTGCTGACTCTAGCTTCATAGTTAACAGACAGACATAACAGGTGTGACAGGCATCCAACACTTGGCGAGAAAAGAGAGATTTCCCAAAATGCCGAACCTTTAAATTGGCCTAGCATAGCCATGATCCACGTTTATGGTCATTGTCCTGCTAGAAAATTAATTCTATGTCACATTACTTCAGAGCAGAAGGTGTGTGACAGGCATCTGCAGTGAACAATGGTATATCCTTTTTGGTCAAAGTGTACCTGTTCAACTTCAAGTTACCAGCGCCATTCTACCCCTCACCTGAATATTTTCACCTAGCGCTGAACAATTAGTTGCATTTGCGATATGATGTGTACCACGACTTGTTGTACAATGGCCTTAAGCTTGACAGAAGCTGACACAACAGAAACTTAAGTGTCACAAAGGGAATGAAATTAGCACCCGCGGGTAACTTGTCGGTGGTGGTGAAATCGTTGGGCAATCCGCCACTTTGGCAGACAGGAAAAATGCACAACAGAAAGACACGTATAGTAAGGTAAGCGTATTGTGGTGATCACCGACTGTCACACACAGCCACTATTCATTTGGATCAGCTGTAAATGATTGCACAAGTCTTTGTTCAGCTGTCATTGTTCTCTGGTTTGAAATGCATCTTCTGTCACACTAAGATGACAACTTTATATAGTCATCTTCAGATCATGTAGTCAATTTAGGTTAGGGGGTTGGGGTTAGGTCTGGATGAAGAGAACACTGGCTAAAAAGTACTGGTATCCAGGAGAGAGTGACTCTATATGTCCTTCCCCACAGACTCCATGGATTTACGTATTTCTATGGAAAGTTTGTAGTAAAACACAGATGTTGGTAGAAAAGCTTGAACAGACTTTCTCAGTCAAAGCCAGAAAGAGTTTTATGGAAACCATCAGAGAGTGTGTGCAGACTGTGATTCAGAGAAATAAATAGGAAGGAGATAAGAGGTGAAGTGCATGTAAAAAAGTCCTTTCCAAGAAATTAATCCATGCTTTCAGTCACAATGACTCACGAAAACTTGTACATTTTAAATATTACACACACACACACACACACTTTGTTACCATTTACTGTTTAACTGCATTTTTTCATTTTGTCTACGCAATTGCTTCTAAAAAGAAATTGGATGTTATAAATAGCATGTTTTCATTCTCTTTGCTTGGCCTTGTTAGATTTTATCAAGTATAGTAGAAAAACAGATTGTTTATTTTCTGTGATGTCAAAGTTATAGAGCATCATTTCTAGCAACTGTGTGTTGTACTTTAGGTTACTTTATTGCAACAACAACTGTGCTGCAATGGTTTAGTTTATTGGTATCTATATGGTGTGGACAGTTGAAAACGTACGACCTGTTATGCAACAAAACAGTATCTAAAAAGGTAAATGTCCAAGAATATATATATCTTCCACAGAGCAGAAAAGGTATCTTCTTATTCATTTTAGCAGGGAAACACGCAACAACAGTCCAGTTATGATAATTAATACTTAATTAGAATACAAATTTCCAGCATTTTGGCACATTCAATTTTAAGAAATACACTCAAAATTTCTGGGGAGTAGATGTGTGGCATAAGTCAGGATTCTATCCAAATGTAACAAGTGTTAACCAAATTTTCACTACCATTATGTGAGACAATACACAACGAGACACACTGAGATAAACAGCCGCAGGCACTAATTCTCCAGTCGGGTTCCATTAAACCAACACAGAAGAAGAGAGCACGACGAGTTAAGAGAGCACCAGTCAAATCTCAAACATTGGAAAACAACGTAGCAAACATGATGTAAAATAGCATTTTACTTGTTTCATATTCATTCATATCTGCCCTTTTTTTTGGTCTCTTCAGAGGAGCAGAAGCTTGAGTGACAAATAAGTCACATGCTTCATGTACGTTAAGATTTAATCGCTATGTCTGTTTCCATTGCACTGTTGCACTTGGTTTTTATTGATACACTAACTTTTTCAACCTAATGACTTTATGATCTCAACCACAAGCTTCTGCACTGAATACATATAGCACAAGCTACAAAGCGATTAATTAAAATGCAGCAATATCCTATGAGAGTCTGGATGCATAGACCGTATAAGAAAGGGACGTAGCCAGCGTGGAAGTCACCTATCGGTTTGCTCTAAAGCATACCATGTTTTATGGCCTATTTTACTCTAAATGGGACCATAATTTATTAAATGAAGATCATGCTGTATTGAAGAAGACTAGAAAATGGAGATGCTATTCCCTGGATGAAACATGTCTACTACTAAACACTAGTGTAGGAGACAGAGTTTGGAATTCAATAAAGAAATTTTATTTCCCTTTTTCTGGGTCTAAAGTTATTTATTTTGTGTAACCTATGACTGCTCTGCTTTACCTAGCCTGCCAAAATCCTCACTAGAGAGGCCATACAGGAGCATACAGTGAAGTTATGAGCATCAGCCTTCCTACCTGCTTTATTTCCCAGTGTGTTAGTCTTTGCCCACAGCAGCAGAATACCCCTCACTGATTCCCTGTATGCAGCATAGCGCAACATAGCGCAGACTAACTCTTAGCTCACTAAAATTAGTTCACACTATTAATGTGCTGTTGTGCTTTAACCTCAGATCAAGTTAAAAAATATATATAAATTATATATACATACTACAATGCAACACTATAGGCAATACAATTGTTTTACTCAATGTTTCATAAACTCTGAAGTTTCTGAAACTAAAACACTGGCAACAGAACAGTTTTAGTACATTTTTCTTTATATCTTGATGCCATTATTATATTTTACTACAGTTCAACAAGATTTAACAGTAGCACTGGATCTTTCAAACTGACTAACAAAACATTATATATCATACACTGAGTGATAAATACAGATTGATGTTGGCAACAGGAGTAAACACAGAGAATGAGAAGCTAATACTAAACCAAAAATGGGAATGATGTCTCCTGAAAACGTGATTTCCTTCTTGTGTTACTTTGTTTTCTTCTGACTCTATGAGGTCTGGGTAAATGAGAAGAGTCTATCTTAGCTTAATGCCAATATAAGGAGACACACAAACAGGAAAACACACACAAAGCCTCCACACACACAACAATCTGAGCTCTTGATTACTGGCTAAATTAGATTCCATATGTCCCCAGGGCGAAGGTTGCCAAATAAACTACAGGCGTGGGGGAAAGCAAGAGGCAGACAAGGAGAAAGGGGATATGAAGATGGGAAACAGCAAAGGACATAGAAAAGAACACGGTGTAAACAAAGGCGGTTGGGCATCATTGCCTTCAGCATAGGAGAAAAGTAGCATGGATGGAGGGAAAAGGTCTCGCACGCTTATAAATAACGCTTTGTATAATTTAAAAGGAACAGAGGGTTTGAGCTTTCCAAAATGAGGAACAGAGAATGTGTGTATTTATATCAAAACAGTTTCAACTGGACTGGAAACACACGTCACAGCTAAATAAAGTCCTGGCTTAGTTTCTTCCAACATAAATGTTTTGAAGTTCTACATCTGTATATGGAGTTGCATCTGTATGTGTATTATGATGAATAGCGAGAGAAAATGGGAGGGAGAGCCAGATAGTGTGAGACAGATATGTAGATTACTATTGTTTCTGTGCTGGTTTTTAAGCTCTAAAGTGCTCAAAATGCATGCTGTCAAACAGTGAAAACTCTTTCAAACATACTTCCTTACAATTAGGTCAAGCTAAAGAAAATTTGAATGATTTGGCCGTGGAATTCATATTTTACTTTTTGGATGACTGGACTGAGCCGAGGGGCAAAGAATTAATTGACTGTTAAACAGCAAAAACAAAGGAAACGTATTTCTTTTTGGCATTAAAGCACATCACTTTCAGAGTAAGCCAAGAAATAGAATAATCAGTTTTTAATTGGTTGAACTCTCATCAAACTGAAGTGAGAAAATGGAAAAAGGCCATCTTCTTGTCTTCATCCATTTTATCTTCTGTGCAGAAAAAGGGTGTGACAGACAAAAAAGTAATCCAGTGAATAAGTATGATCCACTGCAATAAAAAGACATTTCAAACATTGATGATCATCTATGCAATGGAGAAAGGTATAATTAATTACCTTTCACTAAACATGCATGTCTGCATTTGAGAAAAGAAGGGGAATGTGGTGCACTACCTGTTTATAATTTCTAATTTAGTTCACTGCTGCAACAACAGAAAAATGCCAAATTGTCTACGTTTCAAAGTGGATGTTGGCAAACTGCTTAATATTACAGTATTTCAGTTGGCCTATTTTGTGTTTGTGTGTGTGTGTTTACATGCATATATACAGCCTACTCTTCCACACAGTATTTACAGTGCAGCAAGGTGGAGTGCCATTCTAAGTGCCCGAGGCTACATATATCTTATTCATAGAACAACAATAACAACACATCTAACATCAGGGAGCAGACTCTGTTTTAAAAAAGAGCAACA